GCCCTTTTTTTTTTTCAATGGGGAGTGTGCACACTCGGGTGTTGACCCGGGTGTGCACACATCATTTTCCTTGTGTTTAAGGTTAGGATTGGGTCTGAGTATAAGGTTTGTGGGTAGTTCTTTTCAGGGGATTTAGGAAAGAAAAATTGAATTTGAAATTTATTGGAAGTGAGTGTGGAATGAGGAGAACTGGAGAAGTAATGGTTGCTGCTGTTTTGGGCACAAGATCATTGCATTACTTCATATCGAGCTCAAGCTCAATCTTGAAAGAGAACCGTTGGTATAGATGAGAAGCCATTGATTTGGTTATGAAGAAAAGAAAAGGAAGATAAAGATGGAGGTAGAGAGAATGTCAAAAAGTGAAGGCAAAAAGGAACGAAATGGTAAAGTGAGAATATCAAAGTATATGACATAAATGAAAATTTTGATCTGATTAGGGGGGTAAACTTAGAAATCCATGATCCTAAACTTGAACCATACCCTAAACTAAATATTCTTGGTTCTTCACCTGGTCTATGTTGAGATGCTTCAAACAAAAAAGGTGAGAAGACAAGACAAACAATGCTGCTCTATGTGTGACTTATCATTTGCTGCGTTTCTTTTTGGTCACATTCTCAAGCACACCATGCGTGCCTTGAAAGGCTAGCTAGGCAAAGTAAAAACTTGTTAAAATTAACCTGTTATGTCTGAGCACTACGACAGAAAAATCTTGAATCATGAATTTTTAGCTAGGGCTTAATTAATTAGCTAATTAACAACCTTGCTATTGGTTTAACTCTTTCCAAGAGTTTGGTACCTACTAGTTAAAAAATTTTCATTTGAAGTCAAGATCAAGAGTTCAAACTCTACCATACCAAGTAACTAACCCTCTAATAATCTTATGTAATTAAAAAAAAAAAAAAAAAGAGACTCTTTCTGAGATTAAGAGTTTAACTAGCACTTTTATTGACCTGCTTAAGGGTGATTAAGCACTTATCAAGGCCATGTGATGAAGGGTCTCAAAGTTGCCAAACAAAGAGATCCCTCTCACCTAAGCCATGTACATTGTTTTTTAAATGTAAAATGATTAGTACACCCTCTAATTTGACATATCTATCGACGCCTATTTAATAAGTTATTAAAATTTAATAAAATTACACTCAATTCAGTTAGTTCTTGCATATTATGCACACTATTTGAATATCATTGTTTCTTCTCATCAATCATATACTAAGCAACTCATTCAACACATGCAAGAGGAACAAACACACCACATGCCAAAAAATACAAACATCTATCCTTTGTGGCTCAACTCAACAAATATATATATATATATATCAAACCACTAACTTAAAAATTTTGATATCAAGTTATTTTTTTTTTTTTTTGAACAATTTTGGCATTATTTACAGGTATATATGAGGGAGGGGAAAATGAGTTCCATGAGATTCAAACACGTCATCCACAAAAATGAACAATTTTAATACAAGATTCAATGTCACTTAACCGAAACAAACCATTCATTTTATTTGAAATTGTGTATAGTTAAAATTATATAATACTTGGTTGAATATAGATTCCAACTGCTCTCCTTTATTTATTTTTATATATATATCGTCG